TTTACAGCGTTTTTTTACACCTTGAGTTTTGTTACTAAAGTTTTAGTGAGGATCCCTAATCTTTTCTAGTAATAAATATAGCCTATGTTACTCGGGGTGAATGTAGCTTTCTAATGGTGAAAGGATTTTTTAAATCGCCAAAGTAGTTTTTGAGTTTATTCATTACAAACATACATACAAAAATACAAATCTTTCTTCTTTATAATATTAGTGTAGATTGGTCCGCAAAAAAACAGCTGCTTCTGTCGCAATAAAATTAATCATCATCATCATCACCATTTCAGGCATTATCCGTCCACTGCTGGACATAAGCCTCCCCCATAGACTGCCATTAAGAACGGTCCTGAGCTACCTGCATACACTGACTCCTAGTAAAGCATTTCAGGTCGTCACTCCATCTAGTGGGTGGTTGTGCTTTACTGCGTTTACCCGTACGTAGTCGCCACTCAAGAATCTTTCTTGCCCATCGGTTGTCGGTTCTTCGAGCTATGTGACCAGCCCATCATCATCATATCAGCCTTTAACTGTCCAAAGCTAAACATAAGCTTCCTCTTGGGGGGTTTTCACCAGTAGTTGCCACGCTTGATAGGCGGGTTGGCAACTGCAGTTAGGATTTGTTCATATTTTAAGAGAGACATTACTGCCTATTCCTCGACCTTTAAGTTACTTTAGTGGCCTCTCATGACACCCAATGGAAAGGAAAGATATGCCCTATTCTATGCCGGGACCACACGGTGAGACGAAACCAATACTGACTGTTAATTTACGTGTTCTTGACAACCGACTTCAAAAGAAAGATATTGTCATCTCCATTAAGTTGAATTTTGTATGTTTACCTCATACCTCATAACCTTTTACCTCATAACTCCGTCAGTTGTAAAACAGATTTTGAAAATTCTTTTTTATCCAAAAGGATATACTTACAGATTGGTGCCAGAGAAATTTTATCAAATTCGATTCATTAGTTTTGTTTTTAAATGAAAATAACTGTTTTTGCCACAACTAAAGTAATTTTTTTTGTGGTGATCCTAAAATCCGAACTATTTTGTCTCAAATTACATTTTTATTTATATACCCCATACAAGTCATACAAACAGTTCATTGCCATCTCATATATTGTAAATGGAGTTCCCGTTAATGTTTTCGATACATAAATCAGGATTCGAACTCTTGGCTGGCCACCAAAACATTCGAGAAGGTGCACCGTCTTAGTAAATAGCTGGCCATTAATAAAGTCTACTTTGAAAGAGATTTACGTATATTTAGCTAGCGGTATTTTTTAAAAAATAAAAAAAATTATAATTTATTTTTTATTACTAGATTCAATATTTTAAGGTTTCCCCAAGTGACTACAGAATAGGGTTCTTCAAAAGGGAGGTAAAGAGGTTTCTTTAGGATCGGCAACGCGCGCGTAATACCCCTGGTATTACAGGCGTTCATAGGCTACGGTAACCGCTTACCATCAAGTGGGCCATATGCTTGTTTGCTACCACAGTAGTATAGAAAAAAATAAAAAAAATACCAGAGAAACCTTTTCAGAGTACTGAGTACTTCTATCCCATAGTATCTCCAAGTCATACATCTCTGACTTCATCCACTTTCATACCTCGCCTTTTTTTTTTTTCGCAAACAAGCTGTCGGCCCACCTGATGGAAAGTGGTAATCGTCGCCTATACACATGAGCAGTACCATGGACATAACAGAGTATACTGTTTCGCCCATGATACCTCCCATGCGTTGCCATTCCTGAGGACTCAGGTGTTATTCCTCTGTACCCAGTAAATTCACGCCATATCCCACCCTTCAAACCGAAACACAGCCATGCAAACACAACTGCTTCACGGTTGAAACACGAATGAAACCTCATTCACGTACGGCGTTTCCGGAGACTTGACTTCTCTCTCAGATAGAACACGGTCTACCTAATCATAACAGGTTAATCTAGATCTAGTTCAGTGCCTACATCAATACGTATAAACATAACATTTATACGCACGAATCGCTTTGCATCTTACTTCATCGTGCATACGGCCAAGGAGTGGAACTCTCTTTCTACTTATGTTTTTCCAATAAAATATAATCTACTCCAATTTAAGGCAAACGTAAATAGGCTATTCGTGGTCCTGCGAGCCCCATCTTAGACCACATTATGACTTTCCATCAGGTGAAATCGTGATGGACCGCGGGACCCTTCAATTTCCCATTATAGTTTAGTAAATATGTTATTTTTTTTATAACACAGGGTACAAACTGGCTCACCTGATGGTAAGTGACTACCGCCGCCCAAATTTTTGCCCACTGCAGAATATATGTAGGTCTCCATCAATTAGAAAGTTTTATCAATAGTTGCCACTTTTGACAAGCGGGTTGGCATCTGCGTTAGGTTTTTGGTGATATTTTAAGAAGTACGCTACTGCCCATCCATCCATTATTAAATTCCCCTACTCGCCTCTTACGACACTCACGAGAAAGGAAGGGTTGGCCAATTCTATGCTAGGGCCATACGGTACAATTTTCCTTACTAACCATTAACAACCGACCGCCATTCGATCCACGCACGTTTTTACGACACATGTTCAACTCTAAACGATGCCTCGTTTCAAGTAAATTAATAGATCGCTACTCGGTGCCTAGTGTTAAAATGTAAACATAATTATCTAACCCAAAAGAATTGTAAAAAGGTAAGAAGGAATAATTAGAAAGGGGTATTTTACTTTTGTCCCGGCGCGGTCACGTCGTCGAGCCGGTTTACACGAGTTTATTATATTTATATTTTGAACAGCTCGCAAAGCGTGTAAGGAAGATTCCCGCACGTGATGTTTTTGCATAGCACTGACCGGAATATGTAATTACGCGGCGGAATTCCGCAAACCGTTCGTACAGAAATCGGGGCGAGACGGTTATGTTACTTGGAACAATATGAAGCCATATATCGTAATAGTTGGTGTAAAAACTCGAAAGGGTTACGTTCGTATAGGTATTTGGAAGATGAGGGGTATTGTGGGTGTCACAGTGTACTTTGAAGTGCTATTCACGACTGTACGCGACGATCACTACTTTCAATCAGATGGGCCGTCAGCTTGTTTGCCATTCTAAGTTGTATATAAAAAATATAGTACATTACTGCAACGGCCAGCAACTGAGGCATTGATGGACGAACGTGCAAATGTGAGCCGAGGCGTAGCCGAGGCACACATACGTGAGTCCATCAATGCCTAGTTGTGGCCAAGGCTTGTATAGTACTTTTCTCAAACAATGCGCGGAAATCAAAAACACATTTTTACTTTATAAGTTCAATAACAAATAACGATCAATAATAATATTTCACGCGCCAAAATGTTCCTTTGTTTTTTTTCAATGAACAGCTTTCTATTTGCAAGCCAGTTCGAAATTTAAATAAAACTTTTTATTAGTTACCACTTTAGTAGCCATGTTTCGAAGTAAAATCCTTTCTCCTTCCTTGAAGATCATTCCATTTTTAAATTACAGGACAGGTATGAGTTTACATAGTACTTTATCTGACCGCAAAACACGACAGCATGTATCTGTCCAGTACGGCAATTTTGATTTATCTCGAAGAAGATTGTCAAAATAATGCTCACATTTCCAAGCACGTTTGAGAAAAGATAATTTTTATGCTTCCTTTTAGTTTATAATTTACCTTAGAATGGAAAAGTTTATTGGGTAAGTACATATGTATCTGGAAGAGAAATTGCGTGTAATATTACCTCTTTAGGGCCCGTACTTTATATTTTGGGGCACACGCGTTGGTGTAGGAGGATAAACTGTCCTTTTTATTGGTATCCACACGCCGTGACTGTAAATACAGGACGCTCTTTATCCGTATCTGTCTTGGTGAAATATACGTGTCATTAAACAAAGTCGATTACAACCTGTTTTTAGTTTTGCTTAAGGGAGACTTGTACGAACCCTGTACTTTTTTTTTTTATTATATACGTAATTGTTTTTTTGAGAAACGTTTCCATAATTATTTATGCTCGCTCTTTTTTAAAGTTCGCTGGTAATTCCTATCAATGATAAGCATTTTAAGATGGTTATATTATATACTAGCGACCCGACCCGGCTTCGCACAAGTAGACAGTATTTTACAAAAATCAATACATATAATAAAAAAGTTTCAGCTAATTCAACTTTTATCAGAGGGAGACTGTACAAAAGTCGATTGCTTGGGTACCTCTGTCCCATTCGTGTTTGCATAGCTGTGTTTCGGTTTGAAGGGTGGGATATGGCATGAATTTACTGAGTACAGAGGAATAACGTCTGAGTCCTCAGGAATGGCAACGCATGGGGGGTATCATGGGCGAAACAGTATACTCTGTTATGTCCATGGTACTGCTCATGTCTATAGGCGACGGTTACCACTTTCCATCAGGTGGGCCGTCAGCTTGTTTGCCAATCTAAGTTGTATAAAAAAAAACTGATCAGTTATTTTATAGAATTTTATATGAGATTCATTACATTGATATAACTTTTTTTTAATTTGTGAACCGATTGAAATAAAACAAACACTAAATAATAAGTGGAGCAAACTGCAATTAATTAATTAATTAGCGTGCACAAACGTACAAACAGACAAAAATTCTAAAGATCATTGTATTGGGTTCTATTGCCTATCTATAATATTTATAAGGCCCGTTACGATTTATATTATATATATATATATATATATATATATATATATATATATATATATATATATATATATATATATATATATATATATATATATGTATATATATAATATATGATGGTAAGTGGTTACCGTAGCCTATGAACACCTGCAATACCAGGGGTATTACGCGCGCGTTGCCGACCCTGAAGAATACCTATATACCCCCTAATGTTTATATATATATATATATATATATAGACAGCGACCAGTTATTTTATATATATATATATATATATATATATATATATATATATATATATATATATATATATATATATATATAAACAAAAAACAAATTTTGTTGCAGGAGCACGGAGGCTGGTCACAGTGGAGCGATTGGTCGCTGTGCTCGCGAACGTGCGACGGAGGTGTCTCCAGACAGCTTCGAACGTGTTCCTCCCCCTCTGGATGTAGGGGGGAGCCCGTTAGATACAAGATATGCAATATGCAGGCAAGTCTTCTATTTCAGATATATAAAAAAAACAAAATTAATAATTATATATATATATTGTATATATATATATATATATATATATATATAAAAATATATAAAGAGGTAACCGTCACCCATATATCAACTGCGCTATGGATGTCACAGAATACACTGCGACGCCTCATACGTTACCACATTTGAGGACTAATGTGTTATGTCATATGAATTGCATTACATAAACATAACCATAACAAATTTATTCTTATGTAAAGTAACCAGAGGGAGACTTTGTACAAAAGTCGATTGCTTGGGTACCTCTGTCCCATTCGTGTTTCTACCGTGAAGCAGTTGTGTTTGCATGGCTGTGTTTCGGTTTGAAGGGTGGGATATGGCGTGAATTTACTGGGTACAGAGGAATAACATCTGAGCCCTCAGGAAAGGCAACGCATGGGGGGGTATCATGGGCGAAACAGTGTACTTTGTTATGTCCATGGTACTGATCATGTCTATAGGCGACGGTTATCACTTTCCATTAGGAGGGCCGTAAGCTTGTTTGCCATTCTAAGTTGTATAAAAAAAAAACATATTTTAGATTTTTTTTTTTGGTGTTCTTAATTTATGCTAAATACGTACACTAAAGTCTGACCAATTGCATTCACTTAAAACTAACTTCACTTTAACATATAAAACATATTTAGGACTTGCTATGTTCATATCTGCTTCGAGCTTATATTTTGTAAGTGAATATCTTACTTGTCTATCTCACTGTAATATTTTTTTTTGTAATGGATGGTAATGGAATGGTAACCCCACCCGCGCTATCGGTATACACCGGCGGGGCATCAGTGAAGGATGATAGGTAAGGATGAAGCAAGTCAGTTAGCCCATTGTGACAAATTCAATAAGAATTGTCCACAATGGTTTCCAGGGGGATTATATTTTTTCTTTTTTACATTACGAATCTGTACTATATTAATATATACTTCATCATCATCATCATCACCATCATAATAGCCTTTAATTGCTCAATGCTAAACATAAACCACCCCTTAGAGGGAGTTTTGCCAGTAATTGCCACGCTTGGCAGACGGATTGCCAAACACAGTTAGGCTTCGAAGATGTTTTAAGAGGGCCGCTGCTATCTATCTCTTGCCCTTCCTTAGTCTGCTCTTACGACACCGCAGAAAATTGGAAAAACCTTTGTTATACTCTCTCTCTTTGTTATATTTTGGTGTTCTTTGTGATACTCGTATTATGGTTCTTTCAAATTTTATGCAGTTTACTCACAGATGTTTTTGTGATAGCACATCTCCTTCTTATTTTGTCCTCACACCCTCCAGTATTTGTGATCGTGGAACCAAAGTTATACGTAACTCGTAACAAGTTCACAGTTGCCAATTATTATTTTTTTTAATGGGTGAAAATTGCATGGTAATCCCACCCGCGCTATTGGTATACACCAACGAGGCACCAGTGGAAGATGATAGGTGAGAATGAATGCAGGTCAGTTAGCCCACCGTGATGAATTCGGCAAGAATTAACCAGGATGGTTTCCAAGGGGAACTGGTGCCCCGCCAGTGTATGCTGATTGCGCAGACGGGGTTGTCACACCATTGTCACCCATTAAATAAAAACCCGCCATGATTACACAAGAGGTATACAAATAGGTATACATACAGATAGATCCTAACTTAGCACATAGTACATTTTACGTACTGACTCCCGTGAGTAAAGCCACGAAATACAGCCAGTTAGTTATAAACATTCTATCGAGACAGTTAAAATGAAACTAGCTACATTTACATTAGGGGCCGACTGTCGTTCGACATTTATTAGGAATATCCCAGCTCTAGTATGCAAACAAACAACATTACACTATGTTGCAGGATGCAATAAAACTGTCGCTGTAATTGGCCCCGTTTGTACACTGCGGGACAGACTGTTGTATACAGTGGTTGTATAAAAAAAAATTATATGGAAAACAGAAAAAATATTCTATTATGTAATCGTTCATGCCATATTTGCAATACCCCATAAAAGGATACAAAGTTGACTCTAATGTAAATTAAAAACACTTATTTAACAACTTAAATCTATTTCTGGATATTTTCACAATACATTAAATTAAATATAAAGATTAAATAGAGTTTAAAGATAAGACTGTCCATTACCTCCACTTTATTTTCCACTGTCTGTGTAAATAAAAATATAAAACTATTAATTGGCAGAGATGGGATTTTTTTTTTAATCTTAAAAGCCTGATTAAGCGTTTTATGCAAATAGAAAAAATTATTTAAACATGTCTGCATTGTCAAAAGTTTTATCAGTACACATACAACCCGCCACAAACTAAAGTTTCATCCCAATCATCTGGACGAGTGGCGGTCTTCCACCGTGCGTTTTTCAAGGCACTTTCTTCCACGCACAACCATTCTTTGGAATCAACTTCCAGCAGCAGTATTTCCGAACCGATACGACAACATAACCTTCAAGAAAAGAGTATATTCCTTTTTAAAAGGCCGGCAGCACACCTGCAATGCCGCTGGTGTTGTGGGTGATCATGGGCGGCGGTAGTCACTTACCATCAGGTGAGCCGCATGCTCGTTTGCCCCCTGTGTTGTAAAAAAAAAAAAAAAAAAAAAAAAAAAAAAAAAAAAAAAAAAAAAAAAAAAAAAAAAAAAAAAAAAACATTATATTCTATTGAACAAATAATCGAACCGAGTTATGTGTATTTTTATCGATAATACTCGAGTAAGTTCGGGAACATGTGGGAGCGACACATGTTTGTTATAAAAAATACAGTGGTAAGGTTGTCCTCGGTCACGTTGGATAGAAAAGTGTTCAGTAAAATGTTTACATATCAATTATTACATTCGCCATAGCATAAATCGACAAACACTATATTCAAAAGAATAATACAAAAAGCATAATCCTTTTTAAAAGGCCGGCAGCACACCCGCAATGCCGTAGGTGTTGTGGGTGACCATGGGCGGCGGTAGTCACTTACCATTAGGTGAGCCGCATGCTCGTTTTGTAAAAAAAAATACCACTGACTTTAATGAAAACTTGACTTTTTATTTTAATGAAAACTTTCACGCATCTCTTAACTTAATTTAAGTTTTTACTTAATACGCCTTGACATCTTAAGAAAAAAAAAAGTGTTTTCATATTTTTTCCAAATACATTTAAAACCATTATTCCATTATATAAAACACTGAATGGCTTTTAAAACTTTTTTATTACTATCGTGTCTAACGTCCACCAATTTATAAAATATTATGAACTAAATCTAAAGTTTACCGTCGCGGCTAACAATTTGTCCCGAAGTGTACGATGTAGTTGAAAGTGACCTAAAGTCTAGTGAGTCTCGAGTTTATTGAATAAACTCAGTCACAGCTTAGTCTGTTCTATAGACAGACATACAGGGAACTAATCTTTCTAACCTACTTCGAATTTAAAGTCGATTGCTTGGGTACCTCTGTCCCATTGGTGTTTCTACCGTGAAGCAGTTGTGTTTGCATGGCTGTGTTTCGGTTTGAAGGGTGGGATATGGCAATGAATTTACAGGGTGCAGGGGTATAACATCCGAGTCCTCAGGAATGGCAACACATGGGGGGTATCATGGGCGAAACAGTATACTCTGTTATGTGCATGGTACTGCTCATGTCTATAGGCGACGGTTACCACTTTCCATCAGGTGGGCCGTCAGCTTGTTTGCCATTCGAAGTTGTATAAAAAAAGAACTTCGAAAATAGAAGTATCTCAACATGTCTGTTTTTCTTGTGTATTCATGTTTAGCAATTTAGCAATATTTTGACTAATTTAGATCCGAAGCTGATGATGTTTTTTGCAAAAAATAAGATATTTTATTATTATTATTATTTCAGCCGTTAACTGTCCACTGCTGGACATAGGCCTTCCCTATAAGGGGAGTTTTGCCAGTAGCTGCCACGCTTGGCAGGCGAGTTGGCAACCGTGTTTTTTAGGCTTTTGTCAGGCTTTTACAGATGTTTTAAGAGGGACGCTGCTGCCCATCCCTCGCCTTCACTTAGTCGCTTCTTACAACACTTACGGGAAAGGAAGAAGTGGCCCATTCTATTCTAGGTCACACACGGCGACAATAAGATATATTTTCATGTTAACTCAGTGTAAATTTTCATTATTAATTTTGTCACAATTAGAGTTTTTTTGAGAAACAAAATTTTAAATACTTTATGGAGTTATGGGGTAACATAAAAACAAACATAAAAAACCGAACTCAGAACATTCTTCTTTTTGTTTGAAATATATCCAATAACATGTGTAGATTCATAATTTTACATACCAATAGAAATTTCGTATATATATTTTCAATATTTGCAACAGTACCTATATCGGGTTACATTCGTACTATTGTTATTTCTCTGTGGAGGCAAACGCAACAAACCGACAGCCCGACAATCCAATTTGCCTCACAGAATTACTGGTCGGTATAACTATAAGGTATAAGACAAGTTCAATACAAGTTTACAATTCGCGGCAACTTGGGAACTTGTTTTATTGAAAATCACCTTGTTATAGTTGTATTTTAGTTTCGCCGGTTTGTCGCGGTAAACTAAAGCTGCATTCACACTATAATGCCGGCCTCGGTCCGTTCTCGTCTCGATCCGTTTTCGGTCCGTTTTCGGTATGATCATCTTAGTCCCATTCGTGTTTCAACTATGAAGCAGTTGTGTTTGCATCGCTGTGTTTCGGTTTGAAGGATGGGATATAGCAGTGAATTTACAAGATACAGAGAAATAACACCCAAGTCCTCAGGAATGGCAACGCATGGGGAGTATCATGAGCGAAACAGTATACTCTGTTATATTTATGGTACTGTTCATGTCTATAGGCGACGGTTACCACTTTCCATCAGGTAGGCCGTCAGCTTGTTTGCCATTCTAAGTTGTAAAAAAGGTAGATTTAAAAGAAAAAGTAGATTTAGATTTTGAAGACCAATCAAAATTGGTAGCATTGTTTCTTATGTAATAATGTTT